GTCCACATTGTTTTTGCTTACAAAAACATTAATTCCTACCGGGGAAAAAACGCCCACCGTGGGGCTCGAACCCACGACCACAAGGTTAAGAGCCTTGCGCTCTACCAACTGAGCTAGACGGGCTGGTTATTTGGGAGAGACTGCCATTAATCTCACCATTGAGAATACAATCCATACCCAAACCATTGCAATACACAAAACATAACTTCAGTTCCTAATAGAAAAAATTTGTTTTTGCTTACAAAAACATTAATTCCTAGCGGGGAAAAATCGCCCACCGTGGGGCTCGAACCCACGACCACAAGGTTAAGAGCCTTGCGCTCTACCGACTGAGCTAGACGGGCTGATTATTTGAGGGACACTGTTATCAATCTTATGATTGAGAAGACAATCCATATTGTTTTTGTTTAATAAACCAGTGCAATACAAAAAACATAACTTCAGTTCCTAATAGAAAAAAATTGTTTTTGCTTACAAAAGCATTAATTCCTAAATAGGGAAAAAGGCTTTACAATCCACATTGTTTTTGCTTACAAAAACATTAATTCCTACCAGGGAAAAAAACGCCCACCGTGGGGCTCGAACCCACGACCACAAGGTTAAGAGCCTTGCGCTCTACCTACTGAGCTAGACGGGCTGGTTGTATTAAAGGGACATCTACCAAATAAGTAAAATTATCTTCTGCTTCGCTAGTAACCATAATCCACCCAATATAACGTATTGATTACAACTGTGATAATCCAAAATTGCAGCAGTAGCAGTAATAAACATATTCTCTATAAGATAACCACGTTCACGCACATCTAATCCTCCTGTCAACATGGCAGCAACCACCATGTCGATGACCAACACCAATGGCCTCTTATCTGCGGCATGGGACTTGTCTCGACACATCAGACCATAAGAATCTTTCCACATAATCCTAGCTCTAGCTGGGAGCTCAGAGCTTGTCACTTGCACAAGAACTTTACATCTAACTCTTTAGATATAACAAATAGAAAAACTCTTTTTATTAGCCAAGTCTGTATTTTCTATAATGATAAAACATTGGTATAAAGGTACATCTACAGAAAATTTGAACTTATTAAGATGGCTCAGTTGTTTGGTTAGACTTAAATTTCCAAGGTGACATAGGACTCATGGGAATAATACATAGGACAACATCATAGGAACTTGAATTCAATGATCTTTATGTTTCAGTTGAATGCACACTTCACCCGTCATGCTTAATGATAAATGGAAACATTGATTAAATGATTTCATGTGATTCAGTTAAATGTTCCATTCGTTGAATATCAACGAGACAACAATTTTGTGTAAATATCTCCAATATAGAGATAATCCATCATTCAATGTTCTCCAATGATAAAAGAATTTTAAGTTGATCCTTCAAAGGAGAAAAGGGTTCTCTTATTGTTTTATTCTACGAAAAGGAAAATGGTCAAATCTTAAGTGGGCTCAACATGATTTGTAAACTCCTAGGAGCCCTAGGTCGCCCCAACTTATAAGATTTCAAGTCTCCTAATATTCTAAAATAAAAATTGAAAAAAGTTTGTGACTATTGCTGTGATGCTATCATTGACCACCATAAACCATGATGTAAAGTTTTAGCATCATCCTCATACTTTAAAATTTTTAACTGCCTGTGGACATCACTTCCATTGTGACAAGGTTTCAGGATGGCCTAAATCATAAATCCTTAAGTGGATGAGAGATTAACTATACTGTGTATTACAATCCTATTCTTTTTGGAAGACAATCTAAGAACAAAGTTGATTATGCAGTTGCCTCTGGGTTCTTCAGTTCCAATGAAGAAAGATTTGTTTCAGTTCGTAGACTGCAAACGATTGAAATAGCTCTCTATTTCATAATTTGTTATGATCATAGCATTCCTTAAAGCAGTTGCCAGCTTATTTCTGTCATATGTTTACATTGGCTAGCGTCTAATGTACTAGATACATATGTCAGACCTTTTTGATGTTCAGCAATGCCACTTGGTAAAATGTGACCCATGGACCATAACTCACTTACAAATGGGAATTTCTACATCAAGGAAAAGTAAATCTTAACAATTCAAAGGTAACCAAAAAATGAATAGCCATAAATATGTCAAGATAAGTCACTGGTATCAGTAAAATCTTACAAATTTATGGGAGAAATTGCAAAAAAGGAAAAAAAAAATAGATTTGAGAACCAACGGACACCTGACTTTTCGGTAGTAAGTCCAATTGTCTTAACAAATTTCCCTTCTGCAAGGTAAAGTGACTCACATACTATGAGAGGCGGCAAAGGGCTCTGCTGGTGCATTCCACATGGGCCAGATATTGCCTCTCCATTCATAAAATGGGTAGGTGAGGTAGGTACCGTGCATATGGTAATGTTCTTACCTCAAAGCAAACTGGCAAGCATTAATTCTTACTACGACACTCGCAGGTCAGTAATTAACAAGTTATATATACAGGTATTCCAATAATAAACAATAATTTGATATATAAATTTCAGATTATACTATTTAAAATTTGTATGAAATCCACATTTTCTTTTTCTTATTCTAATTTAATTTAGAATCTTTAGAAGAACAATGGATAAGCAGATCCATTTCATCAGGTAAATCCAGTGAAAGAAAATAAGAAACTGGATACAGAAAGGAATTCAATTATATCAGCAAATCCCATTAAGTGGCTACTTTTGAAGATAGGTTATGCATTGTTTTTCCAAGTCTATGGTCTCCGGGGCTTGCTGTTATTTAGTTCTATTAAGAAGAGACTAACTCGAGCCTCAAGTCTCCAAATTTAGAAATGTGGTACCGACAAATGTTGTTTTAAGCTCAGCATCAAGTGCTTGACGATCACCAGTAATTTGACTGAGAGAACCTTTTATCTAGGTTGTTTGTTCTGATCAAATTTACTTCAATTAGCAACTTGTTTTAACTTGATGCAGCATGCTTTAGCCTAGAAATATGGTGCCGACAAGCTTGTTGCAAAGTGTTCATCAAACACGAGTAATTTGACTGAGAGCATTCTTATCTGGGTTGTGTAATAGTTCTATGTCGATAACTTACAGGCTATATATTCCGAAAGATAGCATGTAATGCGAGACTTTTGCCCTCTTCCCTACCCATATTCTTTATCTAGATCATCCAAATCTTCTATAACTTCCCTAATACCTTCCTCAGATCAAATTGAGATCAGCAGCAGTGAATTAACGAATCAAAAGCACATAAAGTCGAAGCATTTCTCCTATGCATAGAAAAATTAACAGGAAGCATCAAACAAACCCAAAATTCACGCACTCGTCGACCGAAACCAAACCAAAATATTACAAAATCGTAACAAAGGATCATAAGAAAGATGGCTAGCAGAGGTAAACTTACTGGAGACGTCAAAGCACGAAAAAAGCAGGCGTCACGAACTGCCTCGTCCCCCCCTCTTCTCCTTCCATCTGCCTTGCCCTCTTCCGACGACGATGAGGAGTCGAGCCACGGAAACGCAATCCCTAATCGCGTCGAGGCGCGGACAAGCGAGCGGAAATGGGTGCGAGATAAAATATCATATTTTAAAATAAATTTATGATTTTTCTTATTTTAAAATATCATATATATATATATATATATTTATTTATATTTATACACACACACATAGCCATACTGCAGTTTCCTTCGGACAACGTGTTTGCTCGAGGCACTGATGGTCGGCAAGTTGGTGATGGAGACTTGGAGCATTAGGGGATTCATTACCTTCAATAATTTGAACTCCCCCATCTTTCCACGCATGAAATGGCTGGCAAAGACGGCATGTTCGCGAACCCACTTGAAGAAGACCTTTGCAGTGGACTCCAACTCCTCAACCAAGACCTCCTTTTCATGCCATCAAGTGGCACTTTGTGGTGTGGCCTTTGTTCCCTTTCATGGCTCTTACACTGTGCCAAAGGTCAGCTGCTGCTGCTGCTGCCGTGGGGGAAATGGGAGAAAGTAGCAGCT